TAATGAGGTGTTGCTGTTAGCTGTTTCAGGTTTACTGTAACATAGCCAGAACTCACAGTTGACAAAAGCGACATATCCGCCCAACCACGGACTACATATGCAAGCTTCCAAGCTACAGTTGGTTTTAGATAATGCGCGGGAACGATTGTTGTTGTGCTTGGCTCACCAAGATTGTGCGCATCGTTCATACTCGCGTTCATGCCCTGTCCTGGACGAACGTTCAGCCTTGGCAACGCAGCAGACAGATTGCGCGGGAGAATTCACCTGCTTTAGGTGAATGCGTATGGCACGCATCTCCCGCGATGAACACACGGTTGTTGACAGAGAACTTGGATGCAACACGCTGTCCAACTAATCGGAGCTAAGTTGCAGGAACGCAGCCTAAGCAGGCTGACAACTCACTTATATATAGTGTCCACCAGTTGATGCCATCGCTAGGATGAAGCGAGTATGGACTGAGAGATGCCTGTGCGACCTGTACCACAGTATTAGGACAGCACTTTCAAACCACATGATCCAAAAATAAACCTGCAGCAATTGATCTGGTCCCATCTTGTCCTTGTCTACTCTACCGGTATTTGGGTTCAACACGTCCTTATCAGCGAGTTGCATATAGATCCGAATTCTGTCGGCTTCACGAGGGACAAGTAAACATGAGCCATTGTTGGAATGGATGAGACTCTTGTTCCGAATGTCGGGGAAATCTGAGTCGGGAACCATGTCCAAAACTCCCCAAATGAAATCTGGAGAAGGCGTAGGGGATTAGGCGCAGCGATACGAAGGAAATGTGAGAATATTCTCACCAGTATGTTCTCCATCCATGGAGATACCAAATTTTTTTCTGACCCACGAATGTGCTCCTGTGAGCGCATGTGAGTTCCGATACTCATACAATGGATCGGGAGGGCCATACCATCAGCGCCGAGCACATACTTGGCACGGACAATCTCTTCATGTGGCGTGCCATTGGGCCCGAGGTGTTCAAGGGTCACCTTTGTACTTCTCCGTGAGGGGGTATGTATGAATGCGAGAAAAAAAACCTCACCTTGACCGGATGTGAGGTGGGGTCTGCAAGCTCCGACTCATCGGATGATATCTCTATTGCAGTGGGCATGGTAGATCGTTCGACTTCGACGCCGAGGGCTCTCATGGAGTCTAGAAATATTTCCTCGATACCTCCTTGATGCAATGCAAGCTAATGGTTCATCATGAGAACTTGCGTTCGTCACCAGCCCGAAGCGGACATACTTCGAAGGGATAACGAGCAGACGGCGCAGTCACGTCGGGTGCGCGACTTGAGAGCTGAAGGATCAAGAATGAGACATAATTAAAGCGAAGACATCACAACTCTCACCTGAATGCCACCATCTGGACCAGGGTCATAGAACGCCTGGAAGACAGTGATGAATTATGTATGCAGTGCCTTGGCAGCTGGATAACTTACAGCCAAATGGACTTGACAGCCTTCCCGCAGAAGACGCTCGCCGATACCATAGCTCTGCGATAGCACGACATTGGAGTGCGCGACTGACTGGGGCACAAGAGTGCTTACCTGGAAGACCTCGATTGTTCGGGGTGAAATTCCGTCAGCTTGTCCGGCTGCGACTTTAGCAGCTCTGCTCGGTCCGTCAGCGAAGTTGCGACGATTATAGTGGGAGTACACGCCGTTTGTCCACAATCCTTAGGTTGACGTTGGCATTGGCCAGAGCGTTGGCACACATAAGCCCAGCAGGACCAGCACCAATGATGAGAATATCGACTTCAGACTGAGGAGAGGGAGACATAATGGTAAGAAAACACGAGTTTGAGCCCGGTGAACCCCCAAGCCCCCTTTATACCACAAGGTCAAACGTTCTAGGGACAAGGAACCGCGAAATGACGACAAAGGCGAAAAGAAGAACATGCCCGATTCTAGGCAAACAGACGCACGGAATCCCGGTTGTTGTTGAGCCACATGATAGTGGATTCGTGTTGTTCAGGTGAAATTGCATGGGTGTTACATAACTTGATTAATGATTTTCCTTCCGAGCACACAACATTGAAAGATATCTGGGGTAATGTGCATTTGAGTGTCTTTGCAAGCGAGAGAAGGACTCTTCCTGTGAGTATCAGATGGCCTCTTCAGAGACCAGGTTGCCGAAATCAATAAGCGGTGTGCTATCGTGTCCTTTCGTGATTTCGCCCTATGTGTTGGGCTTGCCAAGTATGTAGTGGTGGACAATATTAATATTCCACTGGTTCTGATAGACGTTGACACTTTGGTCGTTTGGTTTCCACGATACCTGAACTGCGTGGTTAAAAGTTGCCAGCGAAGTGGTGTGCATAGACGGAAGCAATTCGAAGCACCAAGAAACCCATGAAGATAACAGATATCTCCTCGTGGGTTCTTCAAATTGCTTTACATATCAGATGAAAGAAGTTAATAAGATCACAAAATATTTACTGAATCAGGTGGATGAAGGAGAGAGTGTCCGTGAGAGCCCTGTAGCTTGGAAGGGTTGAGCCCTGTGTCAAAACCACTGATAACCACCCAGCATTAATACCAAACTTGTTATTACCAGCCTCGTAGTATATACCAGGTTGTTTCAGCTTGTCTCAAATCTTTGGATGACGATGAGTTCAGATAAGCAACCAAATAGTTCGGTAACCTTGTACATCCACCATCCATTGCTCATGGCAATCTCCGACTCGTTATCAATTCTATCGAAATTGCATGTTGACATGCCAGCGTGCGATGTCATTATTATTATGTATGCATCGATACCAGGACATGACAGAGAGCGCTCATCGCGGATTCACGTTTGTGTCCCAGACCTTTACATGGCAGATTCCTTCACGTAGTGTGGGCGTGTACTGGCAGGACGTTACCCGACCTGATTGATTGGTATTTCAACCTGGCCTTGAAATTCGTTTGGATAGACTCTTAGTAACGTTCAAAACGGTGTGTGAGGCCGCCGGGACTCCGCAGGACTCCGCCCGCCGAAATGTGAACGTGTCGTGGCGTAGATTAATCACGAAAGTCCCGTTGGGTAGCGGAGAAGTACAGCTAGTATGAACCAGGCACTTCTCCGGCACTCCTCTGCCTGCTATCATAATTATGATCGTCGCAGTCATCGAAATGGTGGTGTCCGCACTTCTCCGACAAGCTTCTATCCATCCAATTCCAGCTGAAAGATACGACCGAGCTCAGTAGGGTTGACAAACGGGCAGCACATATATTATGATATCTTATCTCGAAAAACTTACATGCAGTGCCCCGCCAGGCGTATACATGTCAACTGTGGAATGGGGACCCGGGCTGCGCTGGGGGAGGGGTCCGTGTGTTGGTGCGGTGCGGGCTAGTGCGTCGTCGCGTCGGCTGTTGTGAGCAAGACACTCCACTCTGTAATTGTGAATAGGATATATCGTGCGCACTGCACATGTACGACGTTGACCTGAGCTGCAACATTTGGTGACACTTGTGTCCTACAGCTGGAAAAGAAGTCGCGGCGGATAAGTGGCTGGGAATGCCTCTAGATTTCCGCCATTTCCCAGCTGGCTTGATTCATGTCTTCACCGACACGCAGTCTGACTCCATAATCCATGGTGATTTAATGTGAATGGATCGTTTTTACCACCTACCATAGGACTCGGAACATGAAGCATTTCCATTTCGGCGTTCTCCAGAATTCCCAGTGTAAACAGAAGCTTGCAGTATACTTTCGGCGGGTCTATGCAGTTCCTCCGTTGGCGGCGTTGGTGTGAGTAGCAACAAAATGAAAAGAATAATCAGTGAGTAACGCCAAGCGCACCATACAGCAAGTCAGGTATGTATAATGGTCAGTACACCACATGAATGAAAACAAGGTAACTATAACGTATCCTCTCGACAACATGGCTAGCGTGAAGATGCGGACGTAAGTATTTTGACGGCCACGAACGGGGCGGTGAACAGGCTTACCATATTCTGCACCAGGAGCTTCAAACCTCTCCGTGCAGTACACACTGGGCATACTCATCCTTCTCAATGCCCTCCTTCGTGAGCAGGATCTCCCTAACCTGGGAACAAATTTAATTTGAGATAGATTCAGAAGGAGAATATCATCTTTGACTTGCCTCTACAGGGGGATCGAGTCCGACGGCTTCGGCTCTCTCCCATCGCTCCAGTCTTGTCATCCCGATACACGGACCAAACTCATAAGACCTGGCATCACCGTGAGCAAAAGAAAGCATTCCACATCATAAACTCACATGTCAAAGAAACGAAGCATTTGATGTATCTTGTTCAGATCATCCGAATGGACTAAAAACGAAATGACATGACTACTCCGCGGCATTTATAGCGAGTGCGCGTATGTGGCCTTACTGGGTTCCATATATCCCATCTTTGCTCTGACTTCGTTGTAATAACCCCGGTAACGACCGGCCTGGTCCATCACATCCAGGTGCTCCCTCTCTACCTCCACTGGAGCAGAAGTACTCTCAAACTTTGGCGTCTTCGATGGTGCTTTCTTCGCAGTACTGGAAGAGAGTTGCACCTTCGTGCTGGCGCGAGTTTGCTTGACCGAAACGGTTGTCTCTGCTGCAGGAGTGTACTCCTCCTCAGAGGAGATCTCATATGCGTTTTCGTTGTCCTGTGCATCGTTCTGCACCTGAAGGAGACCGCCTGCAGGCTCTATCTTCTCTTTTTCGACGACAGAAGATGAATGTGGTGAGACGGCAGCGGGTTTCTTCGGTTTCGCATTGACTGTTGAATTGGTTCGTTTTGCGGTTGTGAATGAAAGCGTGCCCTGCTTCATGTTGGACGTGTTGGAAGCTTTTGTAGTCTTATTTGAATATGAAGAGGACGTCCTAAAAAATGGTATGGACAAAAGATACACCGACTCAGCAGAAGTAACCGGTGGTGAATATTTGAGTGAGGATCAATAACTTGAAACTTCATGAATCACTTCACAATAGGGGCAAGTGAGACACAGCCACTGTCAACGACTCACATTTAGTAACATTGAGACCAGTTCAGTGGCCGACTAGCTCAGTTGGTTAGAGCGTCGTGCTAATACCGAACAATCTCAGTTCCTATTTACGCGAAGGTCTTGGGTTCGATCCCCACGTTGGCCAGTTTTTTCTCCCATTTTTATTCTGAACAAGTGCGATGGTCGCGTGGGGGCGCGACGGTGAAAAGTGCCGGAGAGTCGCCGGGCCACTTGCTACATGCACACAGGTTTCGAATTTGAAAGAACCCCTTTGAAGAGTTCCAGTAGAGATAATCAAGGTAAGGGATGAATCCAACGCCAACAAGGAAGCGTCGCAGTGCATAAGATCTAATCTCAAAATCCAAACTCATTGGCATGCCCTCGCCCCCCAGTATGGAAGTGGAACCCGCCGCCGCCGCCGCCTCCGAACGGGCCACCGCCAAATCTGCCGCCTTGGAACTGTGCAAAGATGTCTGCCAGATCGGATGGGTGCATACCGTTGAAGCCGCCCATCCCGCCCATGCCAGAGTCGTTCTGCCCGTCTTCGTCTTCACCCATGTCGTACCGCTCGCGTCGATGGGGATCTGATAGCACGGCGTGGGCTTCGACGACGAGCTTGAATTTCTCCTCGTCTCCACCCTAGACACGTAGGACAGAAAGTGAGTGCACGGAACTATTTGTATCATGGTAAGATACATACCTTGTCTGGATGATGTTTGAGACTCTCCCTACGATAGGCCTTCTTGATGCCAGCCTCTGAGGACTCCCTCGAAACACCTTGGTGTGCCTGTCAGAGAGAAATTGCTTGCAAGACGGATAGAAAAACCGTACCAAGAATCTTGTAATAATCCTTCGTCTTACTCCTCTTGAGGGCAGCCTCGGCTTTCTTGAGCTCAGCCCTGAGGGATCTGGCATCCGCTTGGGCATTTTCGGACTCGGCGTGTTCTATAGAAGACCTGAAGTCTGCTACTGCAGCATCGAACTTTTCAAGGTGGAGATTAATGCGTGCGCGGGTACGGAGGGCCTTGAAGAATGTTGGAAAGAGAGAGAGAGAAGCCTCCGTATCTGACAAAGCTTCGTCGTATCGCTCAAGCTGGAGACGAGACTATAAGGAACATGAAAGATAATATCGGACAGGTTCAGCACCTTCACTAGAGTGGTAGCGCGGTTTGACAAAAGTGTGGCACGTATCTGACCACCTTTACCCTCCTCTTCTGCCTCGCCTATCCGCTATGCAAAATGAAAATTAGCATGATGACCCACACAACAGGAATGGCACATACATCTAGGCATTCCGTATACAATATAATTGCTTCTTGCAGTTTACCGCTCTTGAATGCAGTGTTACCCTCCTCCTTCAGCCGCTCAATGTCTTTGATTCGCTTTCGCAGTCGTGAAGCAATTCCGTGCTCAGGATCTAATCGGAGTGCTGATCCAACGTGTTGAAGCGCTTGTGGTAGCTTCCCACTGATGAGTAGAACCAACCCACGCAAAGCGAGGGCCTCGGGTGAGTTGGGATCGAGTCTCAGAGCATCGCTACGTGCAAGGAGACGCCCCGTCAGTATAAACGGAGTCGCTGGCCGAGCTTTTCTTCAATTTCACTTACTTTGCAGCGATATTGGCAGCATCCCAGTTAGCGCGTGCAAGCTCTAGCTCTACTCTCCACAAGCGCCATTGCGTTGGTACCTCACCACCCTCAGCTTCAATGCTCTGTAAGCACTTATCTAAGGCGAGGCGGGCCATTCCCCATTCTTTTCTACGCCTCGCACGGTCAAAGTTACGTAAATGAGCTTCAAGCTCGAGTACCTTCGTTTGCAGCTGCAACGCAGCAGCATTCGTTGGCTCGAGAGAAATCACAGTACGCAAAGTGATCAGTGCAGGCTCCAAAGAGCCTAGGGCGAACTGACATCGCGCGAGACGAATAAGTGTTTTTGACGAAGGTTCGGCTGACTGGAAGGCGGCGGCCTGCTGACAATCGGCAAGAGCGAGTCGGAAGCGTTTCAAGGCCATATAAGATGCGGCTCGGTTGGTGAGGTACGACGGTTCCATTGGTTTCGTCTCTGTGATGAAAGTGTGTCAATGAGCACGCGACTAGAAAACATGTTCTGGTGCAAACCTATAGCTTTGGTATATAGGTCAATAGCATCGTTGTAACGCTTGGCTTTGAAAGCAACATTCCCCTGCTCTTTGATACCGTCTGCAGTAAGCTCTGCAGGTTTCGCCAGTGGTGGAGGTTTGTCCGACTGCGCAGGGGAAGGCGGGGGGATGGGACTTGTGGGGTCGGGCCCCGACTGGTTCTCCTGTACTGGAGGCTGAGTCCTGGAGGCCGATTAGCACAGTTCTTGTAAGAATGGAAAGCGCAGCCAGCGCACTTGATGCCATTTGCCTGGGCTTGCTTCTTAGCTTGAGCCTTCTTTTTGTTGGCCATTCTTCAGTGCTTGATCTGAGAGCGGTATAGAGCGTCAACGTTTAGATGGGCTCCGTACAACGGATATATATTCGTGATATTCAGAATTTTGAACTCCAGGACAAGGCAGTAAGGGCACTACTGCGACGCCGCCTTGTGGAATGGCAGGTAAATATTTGGCAGGAGAAATTCACCCTGAAGTTAGATCACAGCAAAGACCAAAGCTGGAAGAGGGTCACGTGCTGTTAGGTGGCCAGCCCTACCACATCATATCCTCCCCCATACTTTACCACTTGGCATCACCTTCCCGCCCTCGATATTTCATTGCCAACCATTGCGAATTGTGCAACTTATTGATCTATTAATCCACAATCTCCACAGATATCCGTTGGACGAGCAGCTTCTTGCCTCATCATGGCCTCAACGAGCCCTCGCGCAACCTTCCCAGACCTCATGGAAGATATATTTGTCAGGACAAGCAACGAAGGTTTGCAACCACACATGGACGACCGTAGATGCTACGCGGGTGTTGGGTCGTCGTCGCCCACCATCTATATTCCAATTGCATCACCCCCAACCCCCGCGCCCTCTCCTGGCCCCAGCAGCTCTGTATTCGCTGAGTCCCTTCAGTTTTCCCAATCCCAGTCAGCATCTTATGATCCTGCGAATTTGTCCCGAATCGAGTTCGCCAACCTGTCAGCCCTCGGCTCCGCTTCTCGTAAACGATATCTCCTATCCCTCCTCAATGACTGTACACCTTCCGAGCTCCTCTTCATCTCCCAGACTATTTCCCCCATGCTCAGGCGAGACTTCCTCGCGGAACTCCCTCCTGAAATAGCATTGCACATTCTTTGCTTCATAGATGAACCCAAGACTCTTGCCAGAGCAAGCCAAGTCTCCAAACGATGGCATGATCTGGTCCAGGATGAATGGCTCTGGAAAGCAATGTGCGAAATGTACCGTTTCAATTTTCAGAGGGATACCGCTGAGCAGATTGACGTCGACGACGAGCCCAACTGGGAGTCTTCTAAAGAAATGGAGAAATTCCCCTCCCATCCCATGGATCCAGCGCTCCAATCCCTGACTGTGAAAGAAAGTATGAAACGCCAGGAGAAATCCCCTCTTTCCTCTTGGAGGCGAACTTTTAGCGCCAAATCGGGGAATACTCTATGGTCATATCGCAAACATTTTCGACATTCCTACAGTCTAAGTACGCCAGAATTCCTCTGTGACAAATCATTTTATTGACGAACATCGATTCAAGTGTCCAACATGCGAAGAGGAGGGACACTTCTCCGTTCGCACCGCATGGCCATCGCGACGCCCGATGGTGACGTTGTTACGTCTGTAGCGTTGGACTCGGATCGAGTCATTGTTGGTTGTGCCACTTCAAAGGTCCATATTTACAGCGCCAACACAGGTGTTTTGTGTCGCACGCTTGTGGGACACGAACAAGGCGTATGGGCAGTACACCTTGTCAGTCGGGGTGGTTACTGGGACGAACTTGACAGCGACACTCAGACACCAAGCAACGAGTTAGCAGGGACGTCTCCCGATTCACCCCCTACGAACGGTTGTGTGCATTTGAGATACCGTCGCGCACTTGGGCTTGACATGCCGAAGAAGAGACGACTGAGAACAGCACAAGGCCCGGAGAGTCCTGGAAAGCCGAGTGATCTGTGTTGCACCTCCGAAGGCTGGGGTCAACCCAACCCAATCGTCGTCAGTGCTGGCTGTGATAGGAGTTTGCGTGTGTGGGATGTTGTATCAGGGTACGAACTTTGCAACTCCGCTTCGTTTTATTGCAAGCTGACTGCAGCACCCTTAGTCATTGCATTTACGTCCTACGAGGCCACACCGCCACCATAAGGTGTGCCCGAGTCTTGCACAACCGTCCAATTGCCGTGACGGGTTCTCGTGATACCACGGTTCGTGTTTGGGACATTCAGAAAGGTAGAATGCTTCGCATATTGCAAGGTCATTTGCAAAGCGTTCGATGTCTCGACGTCTGTGGAAATCGGGTGGTTAGCGGAAGTTACGATGCTACGTGCAGGGTGAGCTGACCACCTTATATCCCTACGCACAATTGATTTTCTTGGCGTGGATAGATATGGAACGTCGACACGGGTGATTGCCTACACGTACTAACGGGTCACGAGCAAGAAATTTATTCAGTCGCGTTCGACGGTGTTCGTGTCGTCTCCGGAGGGATGGACACCACTGTTCGTGTGTGGGACGCCAACTCGGGGTTAGTTCATTCGTTATACATCCCGCGTCCGTTTATTGAGTCTCAATCACAGACAATGCATCGCCCTTCTACAAGGGCACACTGCCCTTGTGTGCCAACTCCAGCTCTGCCCTACCACTGGCCTCCTGGCCACTGGCGGCTCTGACGGGCGTGTCATCACATTCGATTTGCACAACTACACGTCCCTACAACGTATCTCTGCCCATGACTCCTCCGTCACGTCCCTTCAATTCGATTCGAATTTCCTTATCACGGGGGGCAACGACGGGCGTGTGCGGATGTACGAAACGCAGAGTGGCGCGTACGTGAGGGACCTGAGCGAGCGGTGCGAGTGTGTGTGGAAAGTAGCGTGCAAAGGAGGGACATGTGCGATTATGTGTAAGAGGTCAGGGAAGATGGTAATTGAGATTTGGACTTTTTGGCCGAGGACGTTGTATTTTTGAGATGTCGGCTCGTAAGATATTCACATATGTAAACTCTCATACACCAT